CCTCGTCTGGATCAGCCCTTCAAGCTGTATGTGGACGCAAGCCACATTGGTGCAGGTGCTGTTCTAGTCCAAGCTGACAAGCAAGGTACTGAACATCCAGTTAGTTTCTATTCCAAGAAGTTCAACTCCCATCAGCTGAATTATTCGGTCATTGAAAAGGAAGCTTTGGCATTAGTTTTGGCCTTGCAGCATTTCAGAGTATATTTGGATTCTGCTCGGCCAATTGAGGTATCTTCTGACCATAACCCTCTCACTTTCTTGAACTCATTGCAGAACGCAAATCAGAGGCTCATGCATTGGCTCTCTTTTTGCAGCCTTACACTTTGGACATCAAGGGCAAAGATAATGTCTTGGCAGATGCTTTGTCCCGTGCCCCTTTGTAACCAGCAGCTTCACTCCTCATATGCTTTGAAGTATGTCCTCTCCAGTATCGTTTTCCTTCCTCTTAAATTGCTCCTAGGTACCAAGGTTGCTGAGGTTGGAAATGTGCTGAAGATGGAAGGACTTTGAGCATGCAGAAAGGTGTTGCGTGGGTGTACATATGTTGGACATTAATCTCTACATGTTCTTCTAGCTGCAAATTCATAATGTACATGATTGTGTTTGTCGACTCAGGGTGAAACTCTGTTCTATGGGGGGAGTGTGACAGCCAGTGGGCTGGCCTTTTGTTTTGCTTTTTCTGTTACCTGTTTCTTGCAGGTAGGTGGAGCTGACCCAATTATAGATGCAGCACACCTGAGAAGGCCAGTCCCAGTGTATATAAGGACACCTTGACTGAACCATGGGCGGCTGTCTCCATCCATCGTGTTTATTTGAGGCTTCAGTTATGGCTGTTATATCATTTCAATTGTGTTTCAGTTTCTTCACCTTATTTTCATTAAATATATCGTACAGCCTTTAAAAGCCTGTGTGTGGTCTCCCACTTGCTTGTCATTTCCTTTGAGCTGGGTTGTGACAGACCCGACTCAAAGACAGACATTTTCCAATACAGTAAGAGACAGTCAATCGAACGGCCTCTGTGCTGGTGAAATTCAGCAATGCTCTGGGGACTCGTTCAGTGGAGTGGCTTTACAGATAAAAGCTCCCAACATAAAGAAAAATGGCAGCAAGGAACTTGAGCTGAAGACTGAAGATTGAGGGGAAATGTGTTTATTGCAGAAGATCAAGCACATACCTCAGAATTACTTTGGCTATTTTATTTCTATCCCATAGCTTTAAAATTCTTTGGATGTTCTTTGACATCACACATGACATGAAATACAAGCAGATTCTGGAGTGGCTTAAATGATTTGAATTACTAACTACACTGTATTTTTACACACCAGTGCTGGAGCTCCCACAGATCCCACGAGGCAGGTCAAGTTTGGCTTGATTAAACACCGGGGCATCACATCCACTAAACATTCTCAGGATAATGTTCAAACTGTTCATCACCTTTATGATATTAACTAGAATGCAGAATGTTACTATGGTGCTGATCAGCAGCTTCATGAAACCATAGGTATTTGTATCCATTCTGTGAGGTCTTGTGGATAAAGTCAAGTTAATGACAAGGTGCAATAACAATTTTGGCATCTATGGTACATGGATGTGGTGCTTCTGGCTCCCCATATACAGTATGTATGGTCAACCGATTTGGCTCAGTGTGACACTCTTCGTGTTCAAGCCCATAGTTTCAGAGATTCATTCATTCATTGTGCAACAGCTGCTAATATTTTCACTGTCTGCAGAACTGGAGGGCTCTTAATCTTCACATGAGTTCAGAGTTCAGCTGGCACAGCGATTTAGAATATTTTACCTCATGAGGGTATATTAAATTTAGTCTATGGTATTCAGAAAGTAAACAGTACAAGGACTGTGTTTGTTGGGCCAAAACCACAAAAGATGTTCTCCTTGATGAGGAGGAGTTGATACAACCCCTCTTCTCTGACTCCGCCCACCTCTGCACTGCTGCTTGAGTTTGGTCTGAAGTTCTGCTGACAACTCCGACTCTAGACGATATGAATATAACAGTGCTGAAAAAAACAAAAAACAGAGTCTCTTCCACCAAATCCAATATTTACATTTTTTATTAGAAATGGTCAACACCTGTAACATATCTGACTCAACTTTGCATGTTTCCTGCAGGTGAAGGGCTGCTCATCATTGGAGGACACAAAGTAGAAAGCATGAGTGAGTCACTAATGTCTTTGTTTCAAATCCTGCTAAAGATAAAGTCTTCATTTGAAATATAAAAATAAATGAATAATACATAATATATGTCCAGGTATTTTATGAGGAAACACAATTATTATTTAAATATCCCACATATTCACATAGGATGGTCCTTGAACATGTATCATCTTTAGCTTTTTTTAGGATTGATCTACTATGAGACTTCAGTCTGATTTGATGGCAGATTATGCTTGTTCCCTTGCTCTTAAAGAAGTTCCCTCTAAAGACCCCTAAGAGTTTCGTTCCAGAAGTAGTACAGTACACACTTTATTATTCGTGTTAGACAGCAGTAATCCTGTCCCTGTCCTGTGTAAGCCCAGTGTTCCTCCAGCGTCACTTCCAGGATATTTTTGGCCAAATATCCAGAATTTACAAAGTAATTAGAATACAATTTCTGTTAAATAAGATAACATTTTAAGCATAATAGTCTGAAAACAGAAGGGGAGATTATGGGTTTACTCCACATTTGTTCAGATGCTGCTGACTCTAATCTCTGGTAACCACATTTCCTTAAAACCTTTGCTACATATATATATATAAGGTGAATCCTGCATTTTATAGGAATGTTTTCTGTACGTAACACTGGACAGAGTAACCTATTAAGCTGTTGCGTGAGGATGTTATAAATGAAAATTGGCACCAAGTTTGGCTTTGTTGACCGGGCCTTGTGATGTGTGCCCCCAGACTGTTTATGTAGGTTTTCAGTCATCCAGGTCGAAGCAGTGTAGGGACAACCCCCACGAGGGTTTAAACACCTATGACTCTCCACCATTGGGTTTTAGAAATGAAGAGGCCTCTTGGATGAGCGGTGAAATGTCTTCACAAAACTGAAAGTCACTTTCTTTCCAAGCTCCTTTTACTGTATTCAAAATATAAAATCATTCCGAGAAAGACTTCAGGAAAGATACATAGTGAGTAATGTATAATGAGATACATATTAAGCTTTCCATGTTAAAGAAAGTATTAAATGTTAACAATCTACATCCACAAGATAAAGCAATCTCTAAATTTTCCATTTACAAGATCCTTCAACAAAGGCATAGTGAGTTACTCTTTCTGGGCACTGCAGGTTCATGCAGCGTTAAGGAAAATCAGAACCGGGACAACCACGTCTCCAAAGAGCGAATTGCAGCTGAGGCTGTTCAACTCCCCAGTGGGAATGCGAGGCATGGGAGGAAACGTCCCTTAGAAGAAGGCAATAATGGGCATACCAATTCCAGGTACAGGCCCAGGAAGCGTAAGAAAGTCCCTCGGCCCATACCGCCCAAAAATGCTCTTATGCAGCTGAACGAGATCAAGCCAGGGTTGCAGTATAAACTCCTCTCTCAGACTGGGCCGGTCCATGCACCAGTCTTTGAGATGACCGTGGAGGTCAATGGGCAGGTTTTTGAAGGTCTGGGTCCTACCAAGAAGAAGGCTAAGCTGAGTGCAGCAGAAAAGGCACTGTGCTCCTTCGTCCAGTTTCCTAATGCATCGGAAACACATGCTGCCATGGGCCGGACCCTGTCTGCTCACACGGACTTCACCTCGGACCATGCCATTCCAGATATGCTCTTTAGTGCATCGGAGACATTCAACCCCACAGAAGACACTTTTTACCTTGGTTCCAATACCAGTTTCTTCAGTTCACTGGGAATAGAGTACCTATTGCCATCCTCTCCTGTCCCAAACCTGGCACAGTCTCCCTTACCTCCAGCACCCTCCGCCTTCATCTCCCTAACAGCCGGCAAGAATCCTGTCATGTTTCTCAATGAGGTGCGGCCAGGCCTCAAGTATGACTTTGTGTCAGAAAGCGGGGAGAGTCATGCCAAGAACTTTGTCATGTCGGTGACGGTAGACTCTGAGAATTTCCAGGGTTCTGGGCGCAATAAGAAGCTGGCCAAGACTCGGGCTGCCCAAGCTGCTCTGTCTGCTCTCTTTAAGATACAGCTGGACCAGACACCATCACGACAGCCAATACCCAGAGAGGGACTGCAGCTTCACCAGCCACAGGTGAGCATGGAAGAAATCAGTCTGTCCCTCCGTCTGACTCACTGACAGACTGACGTATGTGTGGCCTCTTCCTGATGACAGCATATATGTCACACATGTTTCAGATCATCATTGGTGAGGGTGAGATGATTATACAGCATCTTTAATAACTTTAAAAAACAAGAATTGGGTGCACAAGTTTGTATTTATTTTGGATTTCTTTTAATACACAGGGCCAGAATTATACATGTCTGTGCATTGGGACCAGCAAAGACTGTTCAATTCAATTTTATTTAAATAGCACCAAATCACAACAACAGTTTCTTCGAGGTGCTTAGCTGACTGTAACTACATAGAAGAGTAACTCTGCATTTGTTTAAATCCTTTATCTAATTTGCTGGCCGGGGTTTCTGATGAACTTCAGCGATGCTCTATTTTGAGAGTTCTTGAACTCTGTAAGAGCCCCTTTCTTTAACCAGAAACAATGGAAAAGTGGAACACGGATGTGTCTTGATGCATGCTCAGTCATCCAGCAGAAACGTTTCGTCACTCATCCAGGTGACTTCTTCAGTCTCAGCTGACTGCAGGTTTCCCCAGCCTTATAAACAGTACATTTGCAGAGTAACATAGTGTACGCTGTTAAGTGCCAGGAGGATATGGCATTATTTTTGTGCCACTATTCTGAGTGCACATAAAAAAAAAATTGCTGTAAAAGCTGCTGCTCATGATATCGGTTTGGATACGTGGTGAGAGGGAAACATGAAGGTGATACAAATCATACCAACAAGACAGTGTACATCACTGTCACAACAGTGTTTGTTTTAGTTCAAAGGCTTTATGGTTTTTCCTGTAATACCTGGTGGTGTAGTCGGTGATTTTTTTGTCAGTTCAGCCTTTTATATTATGTTTAACCCGAGTGACCGCCCGGTCAGCTGGTGGGTAACGGGCATCTCCGAAAACGTTAGAGCACTTTTGCAAATATGTGATGTCTTGATGAATCGAGCAGATATTTGAAGTTTACACAGAAACATTCTCGCATGAAAATATCTTAAAAGTTTATTTTGTGTCCCAGAAAGAGTAATATTTCAAACTCCGCCCCTCTGTGTTCCTCCGCCACTGCCTCGTTTGAGTTTTGCATGAAATGCATTCTGGGATATTGCATTTTGTCATTTCGAGCTGATTGGAGACCAGAACAGCCAATCAGGTTTTTTTGCATCCAAGTCTGTGATTGGCTGGTTTTGTGGCACAAATATAATGGTGTAGAGAAAGAGTTGAAGGCACGGGCAGAAATGTTGAGAGCATGAGCAACACATTGTGAGCGAGCGCAAATGCAAAAACTGAGCGAGAGTGGCTGCTGATGTGTGTGTGGATAATAGCAAACACTGAAATACATGTTTTGCACGCAGCAATGAATTTTGTTCACTCAAATTCAGCTTTTCTTCGCTCAAAATAAATTTCTCCTCAAAATGCAACACTTGCACCTGCAAACTTTTTTTTACGTGCGCTCAAAATAGTGGCACAAAGATAACGCCATAGGAGGATTGCCAGGATTTATGCATCAGGGAAACCAAACAACCTCTGGCTACAACACAGAAGATCTACCTCGTCAGGCCTGGACTCTGCAGTCTATCTACACCTACAGGCCAGTGGACACTCTTTCAATGATGAGGATGTAACATCCTGGACAGGGAGGAACGCTGGTTTGAGGGCAGAGTCAAGGAGGCCATTTACGTGAAAAGAGAAAGACCATCTCTGAATCGAGGAGGGGCCTAAGGGTACATCTGTCACCATCTTACAATGCTGTGATTGCAGCCATTCCCCAACTCTCTGTGAATGGGACTCATGACCATTGATCAGTGGTTGTTGATCAATAGTCATGAGAATTTGCATAATTAAGATTAAGGAGCTGCCCTCCCAGCCCATTGTTGCTTCAGTGGGCTGGTTTCAGTCATTATGCAAATGTCCTGTTTATAAGATTGAAACCTGCAGTCAGCTGAGACTGAAGACGTCACCTGATGATGACGAAACGTTTCTCCCACTGAAAACATCCAGATGAACAGAAGCAACTTTTGGAGAATACGGATGTGATTGTGCAACAAATCCATTCCTGTTCTGATGAGGGGGATTTAAAGTGATTACCTGAACCATGTAAGTGACAAATATAAGAAAAAGAAATCAGGAGTGAGGATTTCTTTTGGACTACAGCCTGAGTTGAATGAGGCAGTGGGCTGTATTGATCATGGACAGATCCTCATTGCTCATGACCACGCTGTCTAAGGCTGATTGAAGATGATAGCTTTAGGAGATAACTTTCATGATGCTGAGAAGCTATATAAACATGCTTCCAATTCCTATATTACAACAAAGCTGCTATGTTAACCCTCTGTGTGCTATTCAAACACTGCAATTTGTTATACCAGCCTTTCCAAGTCATTTGTTGAATTAAAGGATTTGGGTGTTTTTTGAAGCTACTCACATCCCTGCTTGGCTTTCACAGTTATGCAGCATTCCTTAATGAAATAAGGAATGATATACTGAAATATGGATTTAAGCTGCTTTAAGTAACTTCTTATCCTCCTTCACTAACATTTTCTTTTGCTAATGTTTGTTAAATACAATAGAATAACAGTTGCTTCTCTAAAAATGTTGGTTGGATATTTGTTATGTCTTATTTCACATAATTTCACTGTTGCACTTATGTGTCACTCCTCAGATCCTGGCAGATGCAGTCTCTCATCTAGTTATTGATAAGTTCAGCAAACTGACGGATAACTTCAGGGCTCCACATGCTCAACGGAAAGTCTTGGCAGGTGTTGTCATGACAGCAGGTATTCTTGTAGCCCAGGTCATCTCCTAATTAGAAGGTTGCTAGTCTGATCCCAGCTGCTCCGAGAGTTTAAATGTGTACATAAGGCTCATGCCACCAACCCCCAACCAAATATGCAGGAGATCTATAGTGAGGTACGCGTACTTGTTCAACTCAATTCAAATGACTTTTATTTATACAGCACCAAATCACAACAACAGTCGCCTCAAGGTGCTTTATACTGTAAGGTAGACCCTACAATACATACAGAGAAAAACCCAACAATCATATGACCCCCTTTGAGCAAGCACTTTGGTGACAGTGGGAAGGAAAATGCAGAGAGGCCTATTAACACATAGTGACTGAAGAAGAAACTCCCAGTGCATCATGGGAATCCCCAGCAGCCTACACCTATTGCAGCATAACTAAGGGAGGATTCAGGGTCACCTGGTCCAGCCCTAACTATATGCTTTAGCAAAAAGGAAAGTTTGAAGCCTAAT